ACCTGCACCTTAATTCACCTGCACCTTAGCCTTACCTGCACCTTAGCTTCACCTGCACCTTAGCTTCACCTGCACCTTAGCTTCACCTGCACCTTAGCCTCACCTACACCTTAGCTTCACTTGCACCTTAGCTTCACTTGCACCTTAGCTTCACCTGCACCTTAGCTTCACCTGCACCTTAGCCTCACCTGCACCTTAGCTTCACCTGCACCTTAATTCACCTGCACCTTAGCCTTACCTGCACATTAGCTTCACCTGCACCTTAGCTTCACCTGCACCTTAGCTTCACCTGCACCTTAGCTTCACCTGCACCTTAGCTTCACCTGCACCTTAGCTTCACCTACACCTTAATTCACCTGCACCTTAGCCTTACCTGCACCTTAGCTTCTCCTGCACCTTAGCTTCACCTGCACCTTAGCTTCACCTGCACCTTAGCTTCACCTGCACCTTAGCTTTACCTGCATCTTAGCCTCACCTGCACCTTAGCTTCACCTACACCTTAATTCACCTGCACCTTAGCCTTACCTGCACCTTAGCTTCACCTGCACCTTAGCTTCACCTGCACCTTAGCTTCACCTGCACTTTAGCTTCACCTGCACCTTAGCTTCACCTACACCTTAGCTTCACCTGCACCTTAGCTTCACCTGCACCTTAGCTTCACCTACACCTTAGCTTCACCTGCACCTTAGCTTCCCCTGAACCTTAATTCACCTGCACCTTAGCTTCACCTGCACCTTAGCTTCACCTGCACCTTAGCCTCATCTGCACCTTAGCTTCACCTGCTCCTTAGCTTCACCTACACCTTAGCTTCACCTGCACCTTAATTCACCTGCACCTTAGCTTCACCTGCACCTTAGCTTCACCTGCACCTTAGCTTCACCTACACCTTACCTTAACCTACACCTTAGCTTTGTAACACTATAAGTGGGTGTTGTCTGGCGTTTTCCATAAAGCGAGAGTTCAGTCACAGGGTGTCGGTTTGTAAACAATGATTCTACGTCCAACGAGGCTCTTATTCCTGTGGCCCGTGTTCCACGCAGTAAGTCAACAAATTCCTTTGGAGACTTCAGGCTGAAGGTGCATGGGACAAAAGGGGTCAGCAAGCCGTTGAGTCGCTTTGCCAGTCTGTACGTGGGTGTGGGTATCTGACTGATGATTGGCCGAAGTGGGTTTCCAGGCTTGTGTGTCTTGACATTTCCATACGCGTATCCAGGTTTGTACTCCCCAATAATCTTTGGCAGGTGGACTACGGATTTATTGGCGTTCACAGTTTCGATCAATCTGTTAACCTTTGCGTACAATTCGGCTGTAGTGTCCTTCGTTACCTTTTGGAATTTAGTTTGGTCATGGTTTCGATCCAATGGTTTCGTTGAAGACATCATAAGAAGGAAGGTGAAACGCCATGCAACCTCTGAAGAGACAACTAACACAACACCTTTACCCCCTATTAGACTATTTTACAGGAACTTCTTTTCCACAGCTCATAAAACGGAGGAAAGGGTCCTGAAAGATATTGTTGATAGGAACGTTATCCCTACAGACAAAAATCAGAAGATACAATTAAAGATTTACTATAAAACCAAAAAAACAGACAACCTACTCACGAGAAACTCTCCAGACACAAAGCAGAACGCTTTAAAAGAGACTAACGTCGTCTATGCCTTCAAATGCCCACTTGGGGACTGTAAGCCTCAAAGAACTCAGTATATAGGCAAGACAACAACATCTCTTTCCAGGCGATTAACGATGCATAAGCAACAGGGCCCCATTAAGGAACATATAATCTCTTCCCACAACCAGAGCATCACCAGAGAAATCTTAACAAACACAGAAATCACCACTCCACCACTTAAAAGAGCCGGTCCGCCGAGCGGACAGAACGCTGGACTTGTGATCCTGTGGTCCTGGGTTCGATCCCAGGCGCCGGCGAGAAACAATGGGCAGAGTTTCTTTCACCCTATGCCCCTGTTACCTAGCAGTAAAATAGGTACCTGGGTGTTAGTCAGCTGTCACTGGCTGCTTCTTGGGGGGTGGAGGCCTGGTCGAGGACCGGGCCGCAGGGACACAAAAAAGCCCCGAAATCATCTCAAGATAATCTCAAGAAACCACGTGTGGAGTGTGACCACCACGTGTGGAGTGTAACCACCACGTGTGGAGCGTGACCACCACGTGTGGAGCGTGACCACCACGTGTGGAGCGTAACCACCACGTGTGGAGCGTGACCACCACGTGTGGAGCGTAGCCACCACGTGTGGAGCGTGACCACCACGTGTGGAGTGTGACCACCACGTGTGGAGTGTGACCACCACGTGTGGAGTGTGACCACCACGTGTGGAGTGTGACCACCACGTGTGGAGCGTGACCACCACGTGTGGAGCGTGACCACCACGTGTGGAGCGTGACCACCACGTGTGGAGTGTGACCACCACGTGTGGAGCGTGACCACCACGTGTGGAGTGTGACCACCACGTGTGGAGTGTGACCACCACGTGTGGAGTGTGACCACCACGTGTGGAGCGTGACCACCACGTGTGGAGTGTGACCACCACGTGTGGAGCGTGACCACCACGTGTGGAGTGTGACCACCACGTGTGGAGCGTGACCACCACGTGTGGAGCGTGGCCACCACGTGTGGAGCACCACGTGTGGAGCGTGGCCACCACGTGTGGAGCGTGACCACCACGTGTGGAGCGTGACCACCACGTGTGGAGCGTGACCACCACGTGTGGAGCGTGGCCACCACGTGTGGAGCACCACGTGTGGAGCGTGGCCACCACGTGTGGAGCACCACGTGTGGAGCGTGGCCACCACGTGTGGAGCGTGACCACCACGTGTGGAGCGTGACCACCACGTGTGGAGCGTGGCCACCACGTGTGGAGCGTGGCCAACCACGTGTGGAGCGTGGCCACCACGTGTGGAGCGTGACCACCACGTGTGGAGCGTGGCCACCACGTGTGGAGCGTGGCCACCACGTGTGGAGCGTGACCACCACGTGTGGAGCGTGGCCACCACGTGTGGAGCGTTACCACCACGTGTGGAGCGTGGCCACCACGTGTGGAGCGTGACCACCACGTGTGGAGCGTGACCACCACGTGTGGAGCGTGGCCACCACGTGTGGAGCACCACGTGTGGAGCGTGGCCACCACGTGTGGAGCGTGACCACCACGTGTGGAGTGTGACCACCACGTGTGGAGTGTGACCACCACGTGTGGAGTGTGACCACCACGTGTGGAGTGTGACCACCACGTGTGGAGCGTGACCACCACGTGTGGAGCGTGACCACCACGTGTGGAGTGTGACCACCACGTGTGGAGCGTGACCACCACGTGTGGAGTGTGACCACCACGTGTGGAGTGTGACCACCACGTGTGGAGTGTGACCACCACGTGTGGAGCGTGACCACCACGTGTGGAGTGTGACCACCACGTGTGGAGCGTGACCACCACGTGTGGAGTGTGGCCACCACGTGTGGAGCACCACGTGTGGAGCGTGGCCACCACGTGTGGAGCGTGACCACCACGTGTGGAGCGTGACCACCACGTGTGGAGTGTGGCCACCACGTGTGGAGCACCACGTGTGGAGCGTGGCCACCACGTGTGGAGCACCACGTGTGGAGCGTGGCCACCACGTGTGGAGCGTGACCACCACGTGTGGAGCGTGACCACCACGTGTGGAGCGTGGCCACCACGTGTGGAGCGTGGCCAACCACGTGTGGAGCGTGGCCACCACGTGTGGAGCGTGACCACCACGTGTGGAGCGTGGCCACCACGTGTGGAGCGTGGCCACCACGTGTGGAGCGTGACCACCACGTGTGGAGCGTGGCCACCACGTGTGGAGCGTTACCACAACGTGTGGAGCGTGGCCACCACGTGTGGAGCGTGACCACCACGTGTGGAGCGTGACCACCGCGTGTGGAGCGTGACCACCACGTGTGGAGCGTGACCACCACGTGTGGAGCGTGACCACCACGTGTGGAGCGTGGCCACCACGTGTGGAGCGTGACCACCACGTGTGGAGCGTGGGCACCACGTGTGGAGCGTGGCCACCACGTGTGGAGCGTGACCACCACGTGTGGAGCGTGACCACCACGTGTGGAGCGTGACCACCACGTGTGGAGCGTGGCCACCACGTGTGGAGCGTGACCACCACGTGTGGAGCGTGACCACCACGTATGGAGCGTGGGCACCACGTGTGGAGCGTGGCCACCACGTGTGGAGCGTGGTCACCAGGTGTGGAGCGTGACCATCACGTGTGGAGCGTGGCCACCACGTGTGGAGCGTGGCCACCACGTGTGGAGCGTGGCCACGACGCTTGTGTTCGTCTGGATGGTGACCACAATGTGGGGTGTCAATCCCAATATATTGTTCAACGGAATTTTAGGCAAAATAATAAAATTATAATTACTGACCTAAATAAGATTGAAGTTAAGTGTCTGTGAGAAGAGGTTGTGGATGAGTCATGACAAAGTGTCTGTGAGAAGAGGTTGTGGATGAGTCATGACAAAGTGTCTGTGAGAAGCAACCCATCTTAAGGGAGGAGATCCCTCACTAGAATTAGCACTAATATCTTCTCTCTATTTCATTGTTAAGTTAGGTTAAGGGTACTTTATATTAAGTTTTGTTTAGGTTTCATTACGTTTGGTTATGTGAAAATGGTATATTATTGTAATATAAAATATGGAATTCGTTAACCTATTTCAGTATTCCCGAGAACTCCGTTTACCAAAACCCAATTTCTTCAAAGAAAACGTTTTCAACACACTTTTTTATTAGAAACCCACGATTTTTAACACAATTAATTTATACCTTAAGAATAATCTCTGTATAGGACAAAGGTTTATTTGCCAGTATACAAGTAGACTACTACAAGAACCTTAATATACTACATAGTAATGACTATATTACAAATCTCATAGTAATAGATTTGCTGAGAGGACGGACTGCTGAGGTTGTGGATGAGACATGACAAGGACGTAAGAGATGTGCGGGTACTCACAACACCTTGAGCTTGGGCAGGTTCACTTGGAACACGTGACGTGGGAGAGTCTTGAGGAGCGGCGCGTGGCTGATGTATCTGTGGGCAGACACACAACGTTAACACCAGTTGTAACGTTCTGGCACACACTCCAGGTGCACACCCCAGGTGCACACTCTAGGGCACACCCCAGGTGCACACTCTAGGACACACCCCAGGTGCACACTCTAGGGCACACCCCAGGTGCACACTCCAGATGCACACTCCAAGGCACACCCCAGGTGCATACTCCAGGTGCACACACCAGATGTGTGGGGAATTGACCTGTGAGATTTATATTTATTCAATTGATATTTATTTATACAGTAGTTTACATTTTACATTAATTTATATTTTTCAATAGCAAATTATGATGGTTTATGTGGACTGTATTTCTTAAAATATCTCACAAATCGCTTCCTTACACATTCTGGGGGTTTATGGTTTATATGTAGTCATCCATATAAATTATTGGTTAGTAGACCTTCACTACAGTATTAGACTACATATGTTAACTAAAATAGGAGACCTTCTCTTATTGTTGTTATTTCCTAGACAAATAGTAGGAACAGGGATGAATAAGACAGTCGATACACCATGTGGGTTAGCTGGCCTCCAACTTATGTACTAGTTTACTAGTGTTAATTCGTCTTCCTCTTCTGTTCCACCTGTCAAAGGGTACTCACAAATAAGAGCAATACTCCTAATATATCAGCTATATCAGGGGAAATAAGGTATATTGATTATGAGATAAGAACAAGCAATATTTACCTTGGTTTAGTCGCTGTCTCGTGTCCTAACCAGAATATATCCTAAATCTAAATATTAAAGGCCTCTAATAAAGAATGTCATTGCCACGTTGCTATTAAAAAAGTAAGGGTGCCAATTTGGGAGAAAACTGGTTGATGTCAACCTCAACCACAGATGGCAGCACCTTAGGCTTTATTATTTTCGTATTTATTTTGAAGTAACATAAACGTTCATATAATGTTTTAATTTTTTTGTTCTATTTACATAAACCTTACACCGCATATGTGGAGTTCATGTCTCTCAATTTTGTCGATAGCTTTTTTTTCTAAGTTCATTTATTGATTTTATAATGGGAATAAACATGACATATTTGCATAATTTTGGGGGGGAAATTTGAAAATTTGTATTAGGAAAACTAAAGATGTTTTGGAAATTATCTATCAACAGATCCTTTATTATATGCTAATGTGTCAGAAAAGTGTCATAGAATGAATATATCTGAAAGGTGTGTATATTTATTCAGACTTGAAAATGTGTAAAATTCGTTAAAAAAACAAAAAAACAAAAACATCTCCCTTTCTATTTACGCTGAAGTACTGAAACTTGGAACACTTGCAGCCCTTTTCATATACAACTAGTCAAAAAATATTGGTTGACATTGAACAACTTTTCCAAAACCAATCTAATGGCCCCTAAGGTAGATAATATAGAAATTAGAAATGACTCCTCTCTTGATAGTAGACGTAGTTGCGTGCCAATAACGGAAGCATTATTATTCCCATTACATCTAAGCTGTCCAAGGGAGAATTATTGGAGCTAGCTTTGCCCCGGAGACTGATGTTAAAATTAATGGCTGACTCTCTGGCCCATATTTACTGTATTTTGTACTGATAATTAAGTTGATTCAGGGGAAATGTTTTATGATGTTAACAGTCCAAGGACTGCTGTATTAAGAATAATTCCCAACAGAATTACCTGGTGAATTTAATAGCAACGTGGTAATGAAATCCTATTTTCTTCCTAAGAAAAGTTCCGCTGTGCTACAACCTCAATAGGTGATTAAAACACTATTTCTAGGGATTATTTGTTATTACAAACAACAGCAATATTATCTGCATATTGTATTGAATATTAGTAAATGGTGTCAGGTTTTCCACCAAGGTGCATACTCAGGGTGCACACTACAGGTGCACACACCAGGCACACACTCCAAGTGCACACTTCAGGTACAAACTCCAGGTACACACTCCTGGTATACTCTACAGGCACACACTCCAGGTGCACTCTCCATGTATACTCTCCGGGCACACACTCCACGTGCACTCTTCAGGTATACTCTACAGGCACACACTCCAGGTGCACACTTCAGGTACACACTCTTGGTGCACACTCCAGGTGCACACTCCAGGCACACACTCTTGGTGCACACTCTAGGTGCACACTCCAGGCACACACTCCAGGTGCACACTCCAGGCACACACTCCAGGTACACACTCTTGGTGCACACTCCAGGTGCACACTCCAGGCACACACTATAGGTGCACACTTCAGGCACACACTCCAGGTGCACACTCCAGGCACACACTCCAGGTGCATACTCCTGGTGCATACTACAGGTGCACATTCCAGGTGCACACTCTAAGTGCACACTCCAGGCACATACTCCAGGTGCACACTCCAGGTGCACATTCCCAGTGCACACTCCAGGCACACACTCCAGGTGCACACTCTTGGTGCACACTCCAGGCATACTCCCCAGGCACACACTCTAGGTACACACTCCAGGTGCACACTCTAAGTGTACACTCAAGGTGCACACTCCAGGCATACACTCCAGGTATACATTCTAGGTACACACTCCATGTGCATACTCCAAGTGCACACTCCAAGTGCACACTCTATGCTCACACTCCAGGTGCACACTCCAGGTGCACACTCCAAGCACACACTCCAATACACACTCCAGGCACACACTCTAGGCGCACACTCCAGGCACACACCCCAGGTGCACACTCAAGGTGCACACTCCTGGTGCACACTCCTGGTGCTCATTCCAAGTGCACAATTTAGGTGCACACTCCAGGCACACACTCCAGTTGCACACTCTTGGTGCCAACTCCAGGCACACACTCGAGGTGCACACTCCAGGTGCACTCCAGGCACACACTTCAGGTGCACTCACTAGGTACACTCTCCAAGTGCACTCTCCAGGAGCAAATTCCCGGTGCACACTCCAGGCACACACTCCAGGTGCACACTCCAGTAGCACCCTCCAGGTGCACACTGCAGGCACACACTCCAGGAGCACGCTCCAGACACACAATCCAGGTGCACACTCTTAGTGCACACTCCAGGAGCACACTCCCGGTGCATACTCGAGACACACATTCCAGGTGAACTCTCCAGGCACACACTTAAGGTACACTCTCCATGTGCACACTCCAGGCACACACTCCAGGTACACACTCCAGGTGCACACTCCAGGCACACACTTCAGGTACACACTCCAGGCCCACACTCCAGGTGCACATTCCAGGTGCACACTCTAGACACACTCCAGGTACACACTCCAGGTACACACTCCAGGCACACACTCGAGGCGCACACTCCAGGTGCACACGCCAGGTGCACACTCCAGGCACACACTCCAGGTGCACACTCCAGGTATACACTCCTGGTGCACACTCCAGGCACACACTCCAGGCGCACACCCCAGGTACACACGTCAGGCGCACACTCCAGGCATACACTCCAGGTGCACAATCCAGGTGCACACTCCAGGTGCACACTCCAGGTACACACTCCAGTTGCACACTCCAGGTGCACATTCTGGGAATACACTCCAGGTGAACAATCCAGGCACACACTCCAGGTGCACACTCCAGGTGCACACTTTAGGCACACACTCAAGGTGCACACTCCAGGCACATACTCCAGGTGCACATTCAGGGCATACACTCCAGGTGCACACTCCAGGTGCATACTCCAGACGCACACTCCCTGTGCAAACTCCAAGCGCACTCTCTATGTGTACACTCCAGGCGCACACTCCAGATGCACACTCCAGGCACACATTCAAAGTGCACACTCCAAGTGCACATTCAGGCATACACTCCAGGTCCACACTCCAGGTGCATACTCCAGATGCACACTCCCTGTGCAACCTCGAAGTGCACTCTCTATGTGTACACTCCAGGTGCACACTTCAGGTGCACACTCCAGGCACACACCCCAGGTGCACACTCTAGGTGCACTCTCCAGGTACACACTCCAATCACAAACTCCAGGTGCATACATCAGGCACACACTATATGTGCACACTCCAGGTGCACACTCCAGGCACACCGAGTGCACACTCTAGGCACACCAAGTGCACAACTCCAGGCGCACATTCTAGGTGCATATTCCAGGCACACACTCCAGGTGCTCACTCCATGTGCACACTCCAGGTGCAAACTCCAGGCACACACTCCAGGTGCAAACTCCAGGCACACACTCCAGGTGCATACTCCAGGAGCTCACTCCAGGTACACACTCCAGGCACAGACTCCGAGTGCACAACTCCAGGTGCACACTCCAGGTGCATATTCCAGGCACACACTCCAGGTGCACACTCCAGGTGCTCACTCCATGCACACACTCCAAGTGCAAACTCCAGGCTCACACTCCAGGTGCACACTCCATGTGCAAACTCCAGGCACACACTCCAGGTTCAAACTGCAGTGCTGCCAAGACAATTTGGTACCAAGACAGCTGGATTAACTAACTGACAACATTTCCTCGGGGCTGTCCCTAGCTTTACTACTCTACACAATAAATTGTCTAACATCACTAATTCTTTCAATGGTACTGGTGGTTTATGAATCGGGCGAGTGTCTTGCTTAGTCAAAAATTTAATGACGGGAGCCCATATGGGGTCTTGTCTTTGTTCCGTCTCGACTACTGTAGCATCTAATGCTGGGTAATTTAACTGAATTGCAGGTACGTGTCGAGAAAACGCATTTGCTACAACATTTTGCTTCCCTGGAATATAACTGAATGTGGGATTGAATTGGGAAATGAGTCTGAACATCTTGCGACATGATTATGAGATCATCAAGGTAAACTAGAAGAGTATTTCCTATCAATATACGAAACAGATTTGTCATGAGCCGTGAAAAGGTTATTGGACTACTCCGCAAACCAAACAGCATTCTTTTGAAATGAAAATGACCACTGGGAGTACTAAAGGCTGTCAATTGTTTACTTTCCTCATCAAGGGTTATTTGCCAGAATCCCTGCAACAAA